GGCATGCAGCTAAGTGGAATGTGTAGGCAACTCGATCGAATCCTGGTCTGGTGAGTCTCCAGCATGAAACACCAAAGCTGCTAGACCCTACAATCTCTAAAGGGTCTACGACATACAATGCGCTGGCAACCTGCTGCTGCATTATATGATGATCATCAAGAGAAAGGAACCCACAGGCACGTCTTTTAACAGCTCCAGGGTAGCGAAAACCGAAATGAAATACTAAAGCCCCAACCAACACTATGACATTGGGCCCCCGAGACTGCACCTGCGTACAATTCTGAGCCCCATTAGAAGCCTCAACTCCAAAAGCAACTTTTGCATATATAAACAAATAAATTGGCAATCGAGACTGAGGAGTCGCTCACTGGAAGAATGCCCTAGACCGATGAGGTCCGAGCGTGACGGTGTTCGCATCACGCCACTTTGCATCATCAGCTTCCCAAGTAAGAGACGGCAACAAAGCATCCTGGACGGAACAGGAACCGGAAACCTCGAAACCGTGTTGGGTTGACGTTGTCGGCTCGCACAAGGCTGTGTAGCTTTAGGATTTGGGATGAGCGGACCGTCCGAAGGAGCTGGGGTTCCAGATTTGCGGTCAATTTTCGACTCGAAGCTCCTTGGCTGGTGCAGAAGTCTTGCAAGTGTTCTTTGCTGTCAAGGGTGTCGGAACGCCTGCTGTTCGGCTAGCGATGGTCAGTCGTCGTTTTGGCTATGTACAACCCCGCCTAAAGCCCACGAACCTTCATGGTTGCCATGATCTCACAAGCCCGTGAAGCACCTTGGCCCATACAAATATCGCGGGTTTAAATTACAACACAATCAGAATCCAAAGCAACACCCAGAATGTCTCATCACCCCCGGAGCAAACTCAGGAGAATGACAGATACTCACTAACAAAACTGTCCCAAAGGCTTCGGAGGCATCTGCACTTTCGAGCTCCCTGCTCCGGAGCCGTGAAGCTATGGTTCGTGAGCTCTAAGCTTTCAGAAGATAGCTGCCACATACACAAGGATTGAAAATCCACAGCCCCAGAACTGCAAGTCAGCGGAGATGTAGAATCGAAGGAAACACGAAATGTGTTAAGTGATGCTTGATTGGCCATGTCCGACGCACCCGAGGTTATGGAAAACCTAAAAGCCCCATGCACCCAAAGGCTTCTGTCCTGAACGGTCTCTGCCAACATCAGGCTAGTGGTAGGCTCGGGTAAAGCCTCGGCGAAAGAAGGTTGCCAGCGCGGGTTTGAGGAGGCTTAGGGCTTTAGGCTTACAGTATGCCTAGGCTGCAATGTAAGGGTAAGTAGGTTGGCCACAATCTGAAGCAAACCCAATTCGCTATGACAGTCGTAAGCAACACAATGGCCGGTAGTTCTAGTCGTTGTCCTGAAGATGTTCGTTGCAATCATCGTCTGTCATATCGCCAGCAGTACGACGAGCTCTGTGAAAGTATTGTTCCATGCAACTGCCGTGGATTACGGCTGCTGCTACTTTCGCTGCCGCTGCTGCATCGGCTGCTACGACGAGCGAGTAGATGCCATGCTCCTCACCATGCTGTTAGCGTTGCTGCTTAGATCTTGAGATATGACAAAACTAAGTAAGTGGTTTCTACGTCTGTAGCTGTTACATGCGGTTCTGTGTGGCTCGTGCCAGTACTGTTCTCACTGCGACCTCAATTTAAAGACAAAATCACCCGCAGTGCAGAAGATTGCCACGGCTCTATAACCCTTGGGTAGTCAACAATACCGCCTACTGCCATATTTTCAGCTGGACCTTCACCATGAGCTGCTGTACCCCTGTATAGAACTCGTACCTGCTCCGCGATTTCAATCCCCAGCCAATCCAACTTTTTCCCACAAGGGCCCCTCCGAAACCTACATCCGACCCAAAGCCCTGACCAATACCAACCTATATATATACACATATGTATGTATGTAGGTGTATGTGCATGTGTGTATATATATATATATATATATATATTATACAGCATATATATATATATATATAGAGTATAACACACACATATATATATATATATGGTCACCCCCCCCATGACAGACCATCCCCTTTAAAACATCGCTCCCACCGGCGTGTTCGTGCTTTTTCCGGAGTATCGAGTTTGAGCCCTCCGAACGTATCCCTGGAACCACCAAAAGACTGAGACCAGAAAGCAGCACGATAAGGCGCGCGGGTGTCCTACCAAGAAAGGAATTACAGAGCACACGTGTATGGATGAGGGTTGTGCTGACACACTACATAGTAAGCACTACACAGTAATCTTACTTGAGTCATATAAATAGAGCAGATTCCAGCATTTCCAAAATTTCCAAAATTCTCTCCCCTAACTTTCCAGATTTCCAAAATTTCCCGACCTAGTCGACAAAACATAAGGGCGGACTTTTTGGAAATTTTGGAAAGTTTGGAAATTTTGGAAATTTTGGAAATCCGGAAAGTTAGGGGAGAGAATTTTGAAAATTTTGGAAATTTTGGAAATGCTGGAATCTGCTCTATATATGACTCAAGTAAGATTACTGTGTAGTGCTTTTAACACTAACGTTGACATGTATATTAATGCTTTCATTTCGAATATGCACATTACTAATTCTATTATTAACATTAATACTCCTACGCCTACCAATAGTCATATTCATATTGATATTAATGCCAATACTAACAGACACCTGCGTATATTAATGTCCGCAGATATACATACCACTATCTGAAAAGCAAATATATCAATGCATTCGTGTACTAACGTAGTATATTCGTATTTAATTTGTCATATACCCAGTTTCCAACGTGACAATATACTACTTGTTAACGTCTGATTATACTGTATTGATATGCTAACTTGCTAAGACACGAATACTGTAATATGCAAGTACACTGACACATGGCAATGGTATACTAACATATGGATATACCAAAAGAGTTGTTAGATAATATACGAATATGATAGATGAAGTAGCATACCAGGATACTCATACACTAATATGTTAATAATCGAAGATAATAGCACACCAATATACTAATGTACTCATGCACGAACGTACGCATGCATTAATATACTAAGAGCATACAAACATGCAGGTATACAAACATATTACTGTTCGAATACATTATAATGTGTTGGTATACTAAGCTGTTTATATAATCTATCAGTATACTAATATATCAAAACTAATTATAGTATTGATACGCATACTAGCACGTCCGCGAATATTACACTGATGTTAAATTCATCATTAAGACTGATTAAAACTGACATCGACATTGGCACTGGCATCAACACTAATTATCACTAAATATGCTAGTGTACTAATATACGAATACTGTAAAAGGCAAGTACACTGACATGTTCACATGCCATTATGCCAACATATTGATATACCTATAAGCTATTAGGGAAAATACGAATATAGTAAATGTAGTAATAGACCACTATAATAATATACTAATATACTACTACGTTAACATACGAATATCATGATACACCAATATACTAATGTACTCATGCACCAACGTACTAATATATTCGCGCAATCTTCAACTCTGCAAATATACTATTGTTCGAATACATTACTGTATTATTATATTAAGCTCAAAATGTACGAATCAATCAGTATATTCACATATCAAAACTATTTCTATTACTGATACTAATACCAGCACTTCTGTGAATAATAAACAGATACTAAAACCAGCATTCAGACTGATACTAATACTAACACGAGTACTATTACTGACATTGACATCGACACTGGCACTAACACCAGCACGAACATAATCACGAGTTCATATTTACTATTATTGATATGTATACTTTTATTCAATACTAATACTAATACTGATGCTAATACTAATACTAAATACCAATACCAATACTAGTACTAAAGCAATACCCATCCTAATATCAATACTACCACAAAACTATTACTCATATGAACACTGATACCAGGATTAGGACTACTACAAACAATGACAGCAGTACTAAGAATAGAACCAAGAACAATACATATTAATCCTAACACTAATACTAGTACTAATACTAGCTACTAATTCTAATACTCATACTCATACCAATACTAATGTCACCACTACTGCTGCTACTACTACTGCTACTACTACGACTACTACTACTACTACTACTACTACTACTACTACTACTACTACTACTACTACTACTACTACTACACATACTTAATACTAAAACTAATACTGATACTCATACTAGTCACTAATACTAATACTAATACTCATTCTAATACTAATACAAATACCAATACTAATGCTACCACTACTACTGCTGTGCGACAACTATTGCTAGTACGACGACTACTACTATTAACATCAATACACATACTTAATGCTAATACTAAGAGTAATACTAATTCGAATACTATTACTCATACTAAACATCCTAATATCAATACTACCACAAAACTAATACTAATGCTAACACTGATACAAGAATTAAGATCTACAAACAGTAATAGTGGTACGAAGAGCAGAATTGAGATTAAGATTGGGACTAGGAGCGCTGCATGCGTGTGAAGAAATTTCCAAAAATTGCAAACCATCTAAAAGAACATTTTGGAATTGAGTTTGGGAGAAGTGTCTGTCGCCTATCCGTTGACAGATCCTGCCTGGGGACGCACGCCACCCTTCCCCTTCCCCACGACGGTCTGTCATGGGGGGGGGGGGGGGGTGAGCATATATATATATATATATATATATATATAAATGTTTACTATATATATATATATATATATGTGTGTGTGCATGTACACTATATATATACACACACACTCCAAAATCCTATGATTTTGCGCCCTGGGTCACTCAAACAACCCGGTGACACCCTGGATCTGAAGCTGGTGCAGGGCCGACACAGACCTACCAACTCAGTGATCATCCGAATGCCCACAAAAGCTTTAGGCACGTTCCCAGAGGGTGAACGGAGCTTACGAAGTTTTGGGGCTCGGGGCTTGTAAGATTTCAGCTTTAGGGTTGGGTTGAGGTTTCAGGGGCAATCATGTATGAATGCCAGCCAGTCTCGGAGAATGCAGGCTCAACAGTCATGACTGCCGACGTGATGTTGCGGGTGTTGACTTTCTGCGGAGTTGGTGGCGGCGCTCCCTGCCATGTGTCCAAACATGCAAGATTCTAACTGAATTTGGGGATTGTTGATCATACTTCTCTTCAGCCTCGAACGGCCTGTAGCAGATGTCGAGCCCAGAAGCATCATAAACTGAATCTTCATACCGGTAAGGGCTTGGGTCATGAAAGTTGGTGATTGACTAGCAGAGAACTAGAAAGCCTCATGGGAAGGCAATGCCCACGTGGGTCGGAGAACTCGAGGACTGGAGCACGAGCCTGAAAAAGGACTGCGAATATGAGAATCCATACCTTGTTGGACACGTCACGGGGGGTGGAGGTGTAAAGAATATAGAAACTGAAGGCATGGCAGCCGATAATCCGGAAAGTCCTGACCCCATGTCACAACTGCGGGGCATGTGTTCAAGGATGCAACAAACATGTTTTGATCATGACGTGTCCTCAGATACGACACCGAAGTCCGGTGATTCAATCCCTGGACGAAGCCCAAGATCACACATCTCGAGCTCTATCAGTCCCGGCTGACTCTCCTTTAACCCCAAACATCCCGTGACCTCGGGCCGACGAAGCTCGTGTTCACCTTTTTGGGTTTTTGGGGGAGCAGAAAGCTCTGTATGTGCATCGGCCGGTATCCCCGATCAAGAGGAACGCCAGTCAACAGCAAGCAAAGCAGAATCGCAAAAGAACGCCGTGAAACAGGCTGGATAAAGGATTCATAGAGTCATAGAATACATGACTAAAGGGCACGGGGGAGGGACAAGGCATTTGAACAAGAAGGAAGGGCTGCAGGTCGGTAAACTAAATTCAGTTCCTGTCAGCACCATCTTTGTTTCCTCAAGATCGGGCCCAAACCGTGGACAAAATACTGACCACGCGAATAAGGATGAAGGTAGGAGCGACACGTCACCCCGTACTCAAGCTTGATACATGCCCACATGCTGAAGCTCGTGATGTGACTTGGGGCTTAGGCCGTACAGTGTTTAACCTCGAGATCCTCTAGCTTTGATTCTACTCTTCGGTCTTCGAGGCACAACTAGGAGCCAAGAGTCGTAGGGTTATGCAAGCGTAACCGAAAAGAGCCCTACAGATTCAGAAGTCAGGTTCGAGGGTGCAGAAAGCACCAAACTTCTCCGAACCTAACCCTGGGCTTCAAAATAGCCCAAAAGCCTTATATAGTATGGTCTTTGGGCCCAAAAGCCTTAATACATGAGTCCTTTGATGCCTAGGGTAACAACTCCCCAGCATGACAGGAGCAGTCGACAGGCTCCATACAAGTACAGCCCGGCTTCGGAAGCTTCAGGGGAGGGGGTTGAGGCTTCAGGCTTCGAGGTGTCGGTTTCCAAGCATATCTATATATATATATATATATACACACACATACATGTATGCGTATATATATATATATATATACATATGCCAGTGATCCACTATTGAAGGTCTCATGTCAGCGTTGTGATTGGCTCTATCTCAAACGGTCTGGGACCACACTGGTCCCTTGATTTCTGTAACCACTAACTCAACCCAGGACCCTTCATAGTTCCTGAAGTGTCAAAGTCTGCATCGTAGATTGTTCGAGGGCCGCGCCATGGGCGTGGTTGCACGTGGCACCGAACTTGCAAGTGCCTAGCACAGAACTGCACTGCGAGCCCTAGACTCTACAAGTGCCGCAAACCCGAATTAAATACCAGTCACCGTATCTCCGAACCAAGCCGGCAAGCTGACTTAAGCAGTCCAGACTTGCAACCCGAAGCTATCAGGGGACTTAGTAAGTAGGGTTATAAGTACCTTAATTGGGGTTCTAAGTAGTCATAAGTGTCCCAACCCATCACACGACCCAAACTTGGGGCCGAAATCTAGACACCCTTTGGCTTTCCCTAAGGCTCCAGGCACCAAATAATCATATATTCTCCCAAATATAAACCTACATAACCACCTGATTATTGGGTCCTTTGGACCCTTGGGGTTTTGGTCGCGACGACCTCTGCAACCGAAGCCTGGAGGCTATCTTAGTACGCTATGTCCTTGCCCGCTTGGGCGCTAAATCTCTTATCTTGCACCACTATACTCCTTACAGAAGGCCTGAAGATTGTGAAATCGGAGGGCAAGAAAGCTGGTAGCACTCCAAAGTAAACAAGACGTGGATGCACAAGCCACTCCCGTGATACACTCTTACAAGACACAAGTTACACTCGTAGCAGCTCAAGGAAGCAACCAAATTCATGTGATAAACGCATGCCATTCACTCCATCTCTGGGTTCTCTACTCGGGAAGCTGCTAACCAGCCAAACGGCCCACGCCACGCAAACAGTCGACGTTAGACTTTGTCGAAGACTTTGTCGAAGACTTTGGGGTTCAGGGGCTCAAGACTCAAGCTCTCGGTCAAGCCCGAGAACGTTCGCCATGTATCCGTAAACTTCAGCAACCCGTCCCGGGGTTTTCTTCGCAGCACAATTCATGGGATCCGCATGTTCATGTCAGTTTAAGTGCTTCTGGTGCCCTTTAATTTCATGTCTGTAACCGGACACTGCTCCCTTGCCTGTGCTCATGAAGAGGTCACAAAGCTTTGTGCGGTGGAGGGTGGGTTTCGGTCGAAGCTCTGACCTCAGCGACGAAGGCTTCATTGTCTAGTTTTGTCCCTCCTGCATGACCCAAGCATCTGTGTCATTTGGGGCATGCACTACGACAACCATGCACTCACAACTGTTCTCAAGGTGCTCCATTAGAGAGTTTGTTGCTCCAAACTTCAACTCTACAAGTCGTTCCAGCTCTCACTTCTCCCTCACTGCTCGTCGACTGACCAGCACATCGAAATGCTCCTTCTCGTTCGTTCAAGTTTGTCAGCGGGAGACTAGTTCTTGTGGATTTGGGCTGATTAGACTTGTCAGTCTATGTAAGAGTGGGGAAGCAATCCCAACCCTGGTGCTCATGCATGAGCCTGCCCGTTTGGATCCTATCTGGACCTGTTGTTTGCCATGTGCTAAACCCGAACCCTTCAAGCCCCCGGCTTGTTTGCATTGAGGACTTGCAAAATGTGTGATTTACCCCCTGTTGCACTCTGTGAGGCTCTGCAGGGCATTCGGAAAGGCCGGTGGCCGGCCCTAGCAAACTCGTGAATACGAAAGCTTTCACACTGAACGCATATAGGTGCAAGGGTTTAGTTAAATAGCGGTTGGGGTTTTACGGTACCAGGCTCAATTTGCGTTTGGGGTGTTTAGCATTTCGGGATTGACGCTTAGCATGAAATGGAAGAGTGGCTGGTAGTGGGCGAAGTTGCAGTTGCCACCGCGCTTGCAGCGCCCTGCCTGGATGCATCTTGTATCAAGCTGAAGTTGACGACCGGGGGCTTTTATGATTTCGGGTTTGAAGCCCCGTGGTGTCGAGGCTATCTGAGGGAGCATTCGCGGCGGGCTTGCTGCAGGCAGGTCACGGAGCATGTGGTAAACCTCAAACCCTGACAGTTCAAGCGGGATTTTGGTGTTCAAGTGCTCGGAGAGAAGTTGAGAAACATGTGGCCTGTGGCTTGGGGCCTGTCACCTCTAAAATCTAAAAGACAAGATTCCCTGATTGAAGAACACACCATGAAACTTAATCTGCCCTGAAAATAACAAGTTCTGACAAGTTGAACGAGCTAGAATCTATGGGCTTGGCTGTTGCTCAGTTGTTGAAGCTGCGGGCGGGTATGGCGAACGTCAAAACCGCAGAGGAGTCATGGCACCGACTGCACAAGATAAGTTGGCAAATTGGAGCTTCCAGCGATTTGGGTAAGGGATGTCGGCAATGATCTTCATGTAGCACTTGGCATGGATCCATGCACGAAGCACAACCGAACAGGCCTGCCGCTGTAATTCAAGCAGACCCTGAAGCCCTCTTCGAAACGTAACGCTTTACTTGCCGTGGCAGCCAAGCCACTTGAAAAAATCGGCACAGCTCGGTGTAGCGCAGTGGCGCCTGGGAACTCACTCTCAGCACACGGGCCACAGGAGACCCTCCAGCACCCCATCCTTAGCCTCACATGCTAAACCTGAAAACACAAAGTAAGATCCTCACGATTCCTTTATGGCCCCTACAAAACACAAGTCATTCTCCCCAGATGCCAACAGCCGAGAGCCTGCATGTAATCAGAAAGTCGCATGCCAGTCGATAGGTTCTGGTAGTTTCAGGCATTTGAGGGGCCCTAAGATGGGACCCTATCTGCTTCGCTGATACTTGATGTTTAGGGCACTGAAACTCTCTCCTTCAATAACCGGGCCCAAAAAAGTTTAAACTTTCTAAGATAGATCAAACATATAAGGCCAAAAACTTTAAAGTTCCCCCATGGGCTATCTAAGGAAAGAGGCCCGGCTTAGGCCCCCAACCTGCCGCCCTTCTCGTACAGCATGGTCTCGGTGGCCTGTCGATGCTTGTGGCGAAATGCTCCAGGCTCAAGAGCGGTTTCGGGAAAGCTTATCTTCAGTTTTGTGATTGCCGACTGGCTACTTTATTTTTTGAAGGACCCTTTTCCGTCTCGCTGGACTGGCTACGTTTAGGAAATAGGACTTTACAGAAGCTCTGCCCAAGCACTCCGAACCTTAGACCCAATACATCTGGGCTGCGATTTGAAGGTTTCAGCAACACTCTCATTCTGAGGTCTGAAGGCGCCCGGATAGTTTCTGAAAGTTCCCGGGCTCTCCAAATACGGATGCGAGCTTGACTGCTGCTTCATGTGCATTGCTTCGTTCATTGGGGTCGAAGCAAAGCTTCCGGCTTTTGAGATGAAGGCACAAGGCTACCTGCGAAGGACTTCGACTTCCCTCCTACACCAGCAACTTGCCGCGGTGCTGCCTTCGTACTCGCTGATCTTCGAGTTGGTATAGTGTGGACCACCTCGATATCAAAAAGGGCATGCTATGAAGATCTTTGCATCTTGCATGCCTTCGGGACTGCGGTATACCAGAAGCAGCCTGAGCCACCTACGGCTGCAGACAAGCCGGAAATGACCAGAAACTAGTACAGGTATGATGTGGAACCGGGACAACTTGATCGAAAAAAACAATCCCCCGTGACGAAACCCTAAAACCCTTCCCGAATCCCACAAAGAAATCGTTACAGAGCTCCGAAGACTGCATCTGGCTTTTCCAGCCAATGATCGGGATAGTATTTTAAAAGAATTCTACATGTCCATTCCTTCCTGGGTTGAACTAAGTACCCACAATATGCAAAATTTTGCAGCCCTGAGCGTCTGAGTAGAATCTACAGAATCATGCCCGGGAGGTTGCAGCTTCTATTCATGTCGACAGGCCCCCGGAGGGACCTCAAGAATCCGGTTGGGGGGATTCTTGCAATGACTGGAAGGGGCGCTGAGCAACAATATTAGTACAATATTACTTCGAGCATTTAACCCTACCTAAAGCCTGCAAGGACTCAAATGTACCCGAGACTGAATGCAAAGAAGGCTGGAAGCCTCCAGAAAACCCCTGAAGCCTTCAAGGACTTCCAACAGGGCTTCTGGAGTGTTGCCCGTTTCGCAATGATAGTTAGAGATTCGCGGGCTTACACTTTAGAGCTAAGGGCGGCTCTATTTTCTGCAGGCACCTAGACACTGGGCCCCAACCACCGAGTGGGAGACACGAAAGCCGCAATACGTCTGAGCCGAAGAGCCCACAACCTCAAAAAACCACAACCCGAACCACGAACCGATACCCTAAAGCGATTCTATTAGGTTTGCTTGTTGTTGCAATTGCCATTATCATTGTCAGAAGTACAAGGACTAGCACGGGTACACGGAAACACTACAACAGGGCCTCGAATTGCCATGATAGTCTGGCCACGGCTAGCAGCTATTGACGAAGGTGACTACTGGTTGCTGGAAGCAGCACCTCTCATCACTTGTGCCGAAAAGGCCAGCGTTGCACGGGACATTGAAAAGGATCCGGAGGAGCTTCGCAGCTTCGATCCTCAATTCCATATAAAAACGGAACCTGAAGCGCCTAGACTCCCTAGACACAAGCCAGATGTGTTGTGTGGGCAGCTTGCTGCTGGGCCCGAGTTGGACTTTGCCCCTGAGGTTCACTTCAAAGCCTGAGTTTGTCCCTCCAAGTTCTGTCGTTCAAGCAAGTTTCACACTTCCACTTCCACCGTTGGTAGAGCCTGCGACAGCATGCTGCTGGGCTGCATGGTGAACTACACATTGCAGCAAGGCACGAACACGGAAAAAGTGCATGTCCTCAAACGGCTGCGTTGAATGCCAAGCTAGAACCGTGAGCCAGAAACCCCGAGCTTCGAGGCGAAAAGATTGTAAAACTCTGGCATAGCAGACCAGGAAGCACGGCACAAAAGCCCTAAAGCCTGAAGGACTTAAAGCCTTAGACCCTAAACCCCTCAAGCTTCGGACCCTTTGTTTATCCTGGACTTCGATCAGTAGAACACCACCTACCGACACCTGGCCAGACAGCTTGACTTGAAGCTCGAGCTCCTGACGCCCCATCAAAACCGATACCCTGGAAACTGAAGACCTAAGCCAGTTAGAGTCTTTAAAGCACACGAAGTTAACGAAGTCCTAGACCTTGGAAGCTGACGCTAAATCCTGACAAGCCTACCACTAAAGTCTGATACTAACCAAAATGCCGTAGAAGCCTAAAGCCTACACCTTGTAATAGAAGCCCAAAGCCCAAACACAATCCTGCACCCAAAGTCCCCAAGTCCTCAACCCAAACAGACGGCTTTCTCAGCTTCACTGTTCGCAAAGGAAAGCTGACAACTAGAGTTCTCGACCCCGCGGCACGTAGCTTCTTTCCGGTTCAGGGCGAGGGTTCGGGGGTTCAGGATTTGGGGATTCAGTATCTCCGCTTGGTTGGTTGCGTGCTTGCTTGCTGGCTTGGAACGTGCGTGGGTTCAGGTGCCAGCACGAACCCTGTGCTTGCTCTCTCTCTCTCTCTCTCTTCTCTCTTCTTCTCCCAGGCTTAAGGGGCGAGTAAGGCACCAAGGCCCGCCCGCCTTTACGGGCTGTTAGAGGAAGTGAAAGTAGGATGGGTTGACGACTGAAGCCTGCAACGACATACGGTTTATGAACTATGTTGAATTCAATCTTATTCCATCCGTATCAGTACATGTGAATTTAGTTCATCCAGTCCGCAGGTTGTAAGACGTCAGAGTACAACTGGTATTTGGGGAAACCGTTTGGCTTTGAACTTCTTTCACTTGCTGGCGTCTCCCTCCCTCTCTCTCTCTCTCTCTCTCTCTCTCTCTCTCTCTCTCTCTCTCTCTCTCTCTCTCTCTCTCTCTCTCTCTCTCAAACCCGGACGTAGATTCGATGGCTTGGCATTGGGCCCTTGGGAGTCTGGGGCTACCGGCAGTTGCCTCTCGGCTTTCACCCTCCCAGCCACCAGCAGCTACCCATGGCTCCATAGTAGTTCCTTGTTGGGAATACCTTATATAGGGTTCTAAATATGAACCCCAACAAGGAACTAGTATGGAGGCTATTAGTTGGGCACTAGTGAGTCCAGGACCCTGCATCCCAAACCTCGCTGGCCAGAGATGGGGGCTTTCGTCCTGGTGATGAGTAGCCGCCCTAAGGGGGTGTAGTGACTACCCGAAAGCATAGGCATCTTCAGACCTTCGCGCATCCGCAACCCCCCGCCCAGAGCCTCAAAGACACAAAACCCCTAGGAAGCGCCCGGACCTCTAAGATAACACCAACATAAACGCACCTGCAACTTCTTCCTCAGGCCATGACAGCCTCTTGAATCATCTTGCACCTGACAGTCTCTTCAAGGCTTCCTGGTTTTGGGCCTTCCGGGCTGGGGTCGCGAGCGCTACAGGATTTCGGGGCGTCTCTGCTTCAGTGCTCTCGAGCTTCGGTTCCAGGGCAGAACGGGGATCGGGTTTGGCTTCCGCCTCTCGTAACTCGGACAAGCCTGACGAGGTCTCTCGGTGCAAATTGACTACAGGGGCAGATCACTCGAGTATGGTGTAGGGTTTGGGACTTCGGGTTTAGGGGTAGGGTGCGACACCGCAATTCAGTTACTCGCTACCCTTGCCGGGTTATCTTGAACTGGCCCTTTTGCACGCTGCGGCGAAGCCCCCGTGTCTAAAGACCACTGCTCAAGAAGCTGTGTTAAATCGAAGCGCGTGGCAGAGCAAGCCTGGATTCCTGATTCGTATATATATATATATATATATATATGTATGTATATGTATGTATACATACATACATATATATAGATATAGAGAGAGAGAGAGAGCGGTCGACTGTGGGGCCTGGGTTTGGTTTCAGTGCTTTTTATCGGGTTTCAACGTTAATGGCTCCAAAGCAGGAGCTTGTGTTTTGTGTCGCGTAAAGCACATACCACAAAGCAAGCATCACAAGTGTTTTTCGGAACAGCTTATTCGAGCTGTGCAAAATCGCTCTCCAACAGGCTCCACACCAGTGTGTAGGTCGAGCCTCTTAATCTGGGTTCTTGTGTAGCAGATCTTACAAGCAGAAAACGCTGTAAATATCGATGAATTTCAAGACTCTCTAAAGAACGTCTTAAGGTAGGCTACATAAGCTCGACAGTTTCTCTATGCAGCTCTGATACTCGGGCCTTTAAGACTCTGGACTGTCTACCCAAAGCAAGCTTAGCCAACACCGCTGTTGGTAACAGTGTTTGAAACACCAATGTAGAGATTCAGCCTAATTAGCTGTCGAATTGCATTGGCATAGGGTTAACGAAATGTGGATGCACATAAGGGCCCTTGTTTTTGCGCGGTGAAGCAAAGTAAAGATGTGAGCGGGTTCAGCCTATGTACCTGTATAAAAGACTACCAAAGACAAACTGTAATCGATGAAGATCTGGCTGCTGTCCCAGACTGGAATCCTACTTGTGTTGATGCTTATCCGATTCTGGCTTCTTCCGATACCCTTGTTCATAAGGTACCCCGTACCCCTTCGAAATAGCCAGTATTTGGATCAAAATCATTTGGATTAGTGAAAAATGCTGCACTGGATACCGGGTCGGTTCCAAGCCATAACGGATCGTCCTCCTATAGTTCCTCAAACCGGTTTGGTCCAGGCCGTAGCACGCTCTCCATCCCTACACATAGCCTTACAAGAGATTTTGTATAGTTGAAATACTAAACACAAACATCTTGTGGTTTCACTCGATGAGCCTGGACGTATCAGCCGCACGCTGCTGCAGTGCGTTTATCTCTGTATACACAAAAGAGAAACACACGGGCCCGATTTCTGTTGCGCTTAAACGACCCACATGTTTACAAACAACCCGCAAGTTTACAAGCAAGGCCCGGTATTTATAAACAACCCGTGAAAGTGTTCATAGAAGGACAGGCAGAAATCACCGCAAATACCAGTGTTTATTGATTTCGATTTATCCAACCAGGTCTTGGGGTATCTCACATTAACTCCACACTTTCCTGCATTAAGAAAAAGTTTTGTGACCAGCACTTAAGACTTGAGGGTTGGCGTCAATTGGGAATGGCTGCGCGCGTCTCGGGCGGATGGTGGATTGGTCGGCGGTTGTACCGGTGAGGGGGGGGGAGGGGGGGGGGGTGGCAGGTGTTGGATGTTGGCCGCACCATACCGAGACCTCTGGCCCCCCCCCCTACCTCGAGCGAAGCGTTTGTTTATAAGCAGCGCCTGTGTTTATAAACAGCCGTCGTGTTTATAAACACAGTAAAGGAAAACTAAAACAAATTTACCAATTTAACAAACCAACACACCACGACCAGAATCCATGCAAGAATCCTTGACAAGGCGATACAGACATCAATCAATTCAACAAAAGATGCGTGAACAGAAGGTTAAGAGCAGCAAGTAAGCATCACGAGCCCGATCCAAAGGCCTACGTAACTTCAAAAACTCCTTATACACAAACGCAGGCCACAGGATCGACCCTTCTGTATATATATATATATATGTATATATATATATATATGTGTATATATATATATATATATTCTGTATTTATAGTTAGCGTTGAAAGGTATGTTTTCATTACATATTATATATATATATATAGAAACGCCTAGGGGAGGACCCAACAGTAAACCCTATGAGCCAAACCTGCCCATGTCGAAAACATTCTCAGAAACTGCACCTAGCACCCTGATACCCTCCAATCTCAACGTGACTGCCCAAGATCCCACAAAAGATGATAGATATTCTGGTGCTTGACATGTCTTTTCCTCCTGCCGGTTATCCCGAAGTCAGCAAGACTTTCTGTCGCTTGGGATTTCGTGGGTGTAAAGGATGCAGCGAGGCCCGAATTTGAGTCGCTGAAGTTGAGGCTTCGAAGCACCTTGAGTCCAACCTTTCCCTCAGCAGCCCTAGCAAAGCTGCGGCTTGTACCACTTGTACCTTGTACGACTTCCCCAAAACTTTCCTCATACGCAAGCCGCGACATCCACCCTCTCACAAACTGAATCCAGCATCGTAGACTCAGACTGCAGAGAAATGGGACTACGCGTCAAAAAAAAAAAACGGAAGGCCTCCCACGTCTGAGGCAAAGGCTTAAATGGCAGTGGAACATAAGGAGCTGGACCGAAGTTCACGTGGAGATTCCTTCAGTTCTTCAGGATTTGCGTCTTTCTTGAAACTCGCTCCCGGGCCAGCCAAGCAGGAACTGTTGTGCAGCTTTCCAATACTATTCCTATAGGATTCCTTATGTGACTATACTACATATACTCCAATACCAAGAAACCCTACTCCAGTTGCTAAGCCCCCCTGCCCTATGACACGGGTCTGACGGTTTGACAGGGTGGGAACTCTCACGAGGTTTTCATGCGGGCTGTCTTGCACACATACGAGGCTTGTGGTGTAAACTGTGGGGCTTTGGCTTTAGAGCGCGTACTTGGGATGTTACGCAGGAGGCATAGACAGACTTAGAGGGAGGTCTTATGGTTTCGGGATGATTCGGGTCAAACTTGGGCGACTTCGCACGGTGGCCCCCATCTCAGGCCGGCACATGTTCTTGTACGTGAGGGTTGGAAACAATGCCTTGCGGCGGGAAGTCCTAGAAGTCTGCACTTCGTGCTACTCATGCATGGCTTAAGTTCTGCATGGCTGCTCATTTGCTTTGCGGTTTGGGTGCCCCTAAATCTAACTCACGAAGTTGTGTGCTCTTAAGTTGAAATCACGAAGTGGCTTAACCTTCTACGATTCGACATCGCATGCTCGCATCAGCTGCTTGCATGGAGGAGGACCACATGCTCGGTCAGATGAGCTTCGCTGGCAAAGAATCCAATTAGGATTGTTCAGGGTCGGGCGACTCGAAGGCTATAAGGATGAACCATTCTCGTTGCTGCGCAACCTGCTCCTGCAAGGACCTTACGGAGTCTCAGATGGTCTTTTTCCCAGGTAGGCAGGTCTTTATTGCCAAAGCGCATCGCCTGAGAGTCCACGATATCCCCGATGGCTCCAGTTTGGCATCCGACAGCGCAAACCAAGAAATGTAGACAATATCTGCAAGTCCCCCGGGTACTGTCAAGGACCTGAAGACTTGCGGTCAGTACTTGATGAGCACCGTCACTGGCTTGGAAGCGAGATCGCAGAGTTCCAGTCTTCAGTTTGAGACTCTCAGTGGTAGACTTTTCGATCAAGCAAAGTCGTCGTTAGGCTCATACAATGCCTCCAACACTGTCGGCGCGTGGCAAAGCAGTTGTCTGGCATTGTGTGCTGCAGTCGTGAACAAACCCTGGTCCACACCCAGAGGAAGTCTGAGGAAGGACCATGATGCCTGAACCCTTGAGGCCATCTCATCTGCACCGTAGATCCTATATAATACCTGAACCCATACCCAAGCAAGTTTTAGCCCTGAGCCCGAAACTCCAAAAGCAAACTGCTTATATATTTTTGCAGGTGCTACAGTGTTTGGGAGCTTGGGGGGAACTGAAAGGTTGAGTCTTGCCTTCGGACCTTGGGCTTCAGCTATTGAAAATTGCCGAACAAATGTGTGTAATATCTTACAGAAAGCTTAGAGCGAAGGGCTTGGTGTTGAGGGTCATGTAACCGTTTAGGGTGTAAGGCTCAGACTCACGACTGGATGTAGCGATTGTTGTTTTAGGGTTGAGGGTTGTTCAGCAAATCTTATTTGCCTCCCGCCTGGCTGGAACCACCCTACAATAGAGGGTACGCAGCACTTTAGGGTAAAAGCTTTTGCAACAGTTTGGAGCTTGGGGGTTTATAACACAGGTTACTAATGTTCCAGTCCGATTCATGCTTTACCCTTTCAACATATTTTTATGCATTATATATATATATATATATATATATAAAGCCTGCAAATAACTACTATATAATATTATATATATATATATATATATATATATATATATGTGTGTGTGTGTGTAAACATGGATATTAGGGATGTGGGGCTGGCGCACAGGACCGCGCCTTTCCCTGCAGGCTCTCGGGCAGCATCTGAGGGTCCGCAAGGCGCTGGCCATCTCTGTACAAGGACAGCGTGTTCATGTTGGGACCTCGGGCTTTTTTGGAGGTTTCCATAGGGTTTAGGGTTTAGGGGTTAGGGTTTAGGGTTTAGGGTTTAGAGTTTAGGGGTTAGGGTTTAGGGTTTAGGGTTTAGGAGGTTTCCAGGACCTTCCTTGTATCCTCAAATAGGGGTATATGGTCCCAAATAAGGGGCATTTAGGGTCTAATAGGGGGAAGATGGAGGGTCTAGGTTATACAGGGGTTTAGGGTAGTTGGGATCTCGGATTTTTACGCTTTATATAGGGTTTAGGGTAGTCGGGACCTCGGATTTGAGGTTTATGTAGGGGATTAGGGTAGTTGGGACGGATAAGGCTTGCAGTTTAGGGTTTAAATTTAGGAGTTTATGGTATATGGGATTTATAGGTGCTGTGCATGGGTCGCCTTGGGCTTCTTGGATGGTGGGCTTTAACCGGGTGGAGAGGGGGGTGAAGAGGGATATACCTGGCAGAAGCTCTCCAGGATACTACAAGCTGGTAGCACTTCATAGCGTGTGTATAGGAATTTGAAAACAGTGCTCCCCGATGCCGAACCCCCAGCCCTGGTAGACCTTGAGTATGGGCTCGAAAAGAGAAGTAGTGCCACCAAGCATTTGCAGCATCATGCCAACTGCTTGATACTTGATGCCACATGGCACCTGGGGTCCAAACAACCGAAACGACTGGGAGCACGCTGCACCACTACCATAAAAGGTCTGCAATGGAATGATGCTGCCGCTTGTCTCCCGCATTACTATAGTCCATCGCCCCAAAGCTGCGTAGCTCTGCGCTTCCCTCTCAACATCCAGCACCCTTCCTTTCGAAGGATCACACGTTTTCTCAGAGGATCCGTAGAGCCCTGACTGAATGGTAGCCCTGCGGACAGGCGTAAAGCGCCGTGACACAGCAGCGAAAAGGGGAGAGAGGATCCGTAGTCACAAGAACCTTAAGCAACAAGCCTGAAAGGCATCAACCTACAAAGCTACGTTGCCCTAAAACCTCTCTTGAACCAGACTTTGCTCCGATCAGCTGGGAAGCAATCCATGCAAAACAGGAAGCAGTCGAAAGTTCTCGCTACCTTAGGACCTTGAACTCCAAACTCCCAAAACCCTAAATCAGAAGTTCTCCACCCTGAACCGGTCTTCCAAGAAGATCGGGTGCCGTGCTGTCTGGGTCCAAGTTCAACACCTGAGCCGGCGAGCCAGTGAAACTGCAAGGGTTTCTACGTAATATTGAAGCTGTATATATATATATATATATATATATACATATGTACACATACACACACACAGAGATTACATATACGCATATTGTTTTGGACTTGCTTGCCATTGTCGCCTCTCGGATACCGACGGATCATCAAGTTGTGCTGCGCAAGTATTATGAATGGTCCTGGTTCATACATTGCCAACATGAGCATAACACCTTCTCGCTACTCGGTTGAAACACGTAGAAAGCTAGACCGTGGGTTAGCCACCAGTGGCTGTCATCTCTCCAAACCCACAGGATGATTTTACCTTTCCTCGTTTGAAAGCTTTCTTCGGGCTGCTTCGGCTGCAGAGGCGGTTCGTGGCGCCTGACCTCTGGCCATGAAGATCGGGCTTTGCAGCAGCCACAGTCTGTACACGGTAGGGGTGGCGTAGGAGGGCCAGCAACCCTGGACATCTATACAAAAGCTGCAGAAGGTTGAAGACGGACCACTCACTGACCAGTGGCTGCACAGCGGTCATGGTGATTCAGGTCAACCTGCATTGGCTTATCCTGGACGTCTGTACAAAGCTGCAGCAAATAGAAAACGAATCATTCGCCAACCGCTTGTCGCGGTGTTCATATCTAACTGCAGCGGCTAGTCCTCAATTTTGAAAGGGATGAACCCACGGCATCTAGATCCTAGCGAACATCAACAAGGTCTTGGCCACGCAAATGGCTCACAGGCGAAAGTGTCCTGCATCTTTGCTGGCCAGATTCACTTTCGAACTCGGAAGGCTCGTCCACATCGATGAAGGTCTTGCGCACCACGGTCTTCATCTCGGCTACCTCGTTCAGTCTTTGCTGCAAGACGTCAAGACTATGGTCGTCTTTAAATCGCGGGCCCATGGAGTCTTGCACACTTGGGGCCGCCGCTCCGCCCCGCGAGCGACGGTATGCCGACTTTTGCAGAGCGTAAGCGCACTGAAACCGTCCTCGCACTCGATCCCAATCATCCCGTCGAATGGCACACTGGTACGGCAGCAGCTCCTGCCCATCGAGTGACTGGTAGAAGGTCGCGTGCTCTCCGATCCTCGTCACGAACACGGAGAGATACTCCGAAAGCACGAAGCCGTTGCTGCCAGCCATTGCAGGATGATATCGGACCCATGATGTCAGCCCATCTCGTTTGCCGGCATCAATTGTGGTCACATCCTGCCCCGCCGCCACTTCTGCCGCTGTGGCGGGAAGGAGGGGTCGGCCCCGCCGCCAGCTTTGAATGGTGAGGATGACGTAGTACTGCTGGTCGTGCTGGCGCATTTCCGTGATGCCGGGTCGGTTTACGAACCACTCTGTGAGGTCCCTTGCTGACACAAGCAGCTTCTCGAAGTGCATAGATGCCCACAATGGTAGGACTGAAGGCACTTTCAAGACCATGTCTAGTGCAAAGGTGTTTGGACTTTGTGGGCGCGCAACGACGACAGCTTCGAGGAGAGCGGAGAGACATTGCACCAGGATGACACTGTCACCTGGTTGCGGATAGTTTCTCCGAACCATCTGGCGCACTTGGCCAGGGCTCTCCGAATTTGTCTGAAAGAGCATGTTGTTAGTGCTGATGGCCTTCCCACTGAGCGTGCAGAAAAAGAGACTGCACTGGCGATTGAACCTCCAGGCCAGTTGCTGCTTCACCACGGCGTCACCAGGGGCCAGTTGCTGCACCACTTCGAAGGACTCCTCATTGAGGTCTGGGTAACTGCGCCTTGCCCAGTCACGGACTTCTGGTCGAACGAAGAGATGAGAGGGGTCTGCAGGCGGCTCGTCAACGAGGATGTCCCTCAATGAGAACCTTATGAGATGCCCACCCCATGGACTCTTTCGGTGCAGCAACCTGCCAGCGGGGCATTCGCAGGCAATCTGCCAACCCTCATTCTCGAGCAACGTCGGCACGAAGTGGAACCAGTCCTCGACGCTCTCTGGACGAAGTGCCATGCCAATTGCTTCTGTCACTATGGCCCTGGATGCACCAAATCGTTTCCTTCGGTTGAGACTCGAGCCGCAAGCATTCGAGGCTCAAGCTGTCCCCAATGGGGACCTCTCAGGAACAACATAAGATTTAGACCCTGCAACATGTTCGCGGCACTTCAAGGAAACGGTTGCGCAGCACGATAGACACAGAAACCCCCTTGGACCGGAGGATATGCCGGATCATCCAGCTGTAACAAAGACTCCAAAGACCGGCAGGTAAAGATTTCTTCGACATCCTACACTTGCCCGAACCTCCAATCCCATCCCCGACCGTGTGGTTGAGGCTCTGGCAACGGTCACCGTGCTTTCTGGCCCATACTTTGCATCCAAGAGTGGGATTCGCTTCCTGACCAAGATCAGTGCAGAAGGTCCTAGCACTACACCTTTTGGGCCTGGACAGTGGCAAAACTGCTGCAAACGCGAAACCGGAAGCAATGCCAGCAGACAAGCGATCACTCAACCGCGGGATGCCACAGCGCCGGGGGCCTTAGCTTCTATGATTCTATGGCCTTCCTGAAACCACCAGAGCTTGCTTGTTGGTAGTCTAGTGTCTCTATCACTTCGACAGTAAGAGCTAAACGTCCGAACGAAAAAAGAGGCTGTAGTGGCCCAAGGTCTTGGTTGCAGGATCAGTGCCAAGAGGGATTGGAGGGCCGTAGATGTCAGCGGCTGAAGATTAGAAGCCCGGGGAAGCAGCTCAATATTAGTTTGTATTATTGTATACTATTACTGCTATGAGTTTATGGTACTGCTTTTAGGCAGATTACTGTTAATATTAGTTTCATTATTTCTATTACTAGGATTCGTATCCTTCTTCCCTTGTTATCAGAAACCTTCAGCTTCCTAAAGCTTTAGGCTGCCTCTTAGCAAAGCATGATGTTGAAAATGCATTCCCTTAGGAAGAGCATGACAAAGAATGGACGAACTTCTCAGGCTTCACAACTCCGGCGGGTTCGTATATCCGGTATCCAGCCCCTCCCTTAGGCTCGTTTTCGGGACCCGCTCTTTTCTTGAAACTCGCTCCCCGTGTCTACTATCTACAGTCCAAGTAGAGCAGTGCCCAGCAGTCCTATTGAAGAGCAGGCCACCGTCGGAGTCGAAACAAATGCTCTCCTCTCCAGCATCGAGATAAGGCCAGTTTCGAGTTCAGGATGCGGGTGCATCAAACCGTTACACAGCATGCAAACGAAGTCAAGTCTATACTGCAACTGCCAAAAGAGGGTCTGGCATTTAGGAGTACATGTGCAGCGAAAAAATGGACCGCCCAATCCCGCCACACTGGGCCCACAGAAAGGGTCTTGAGCCAGATTCATGGTCGAATAAGCACAACAAGGCCTAGGGCTCGCCGTCAAAGCCATCCAATGCCGGAATGGCAAGATGGGCGCGGGAAGGCTCGTGAACCATGAACCAGCCGCTGAAGCAGCAACCAAATCTGCCCGACCACTGCCCCATAACCCTGAATTAAAGCCAAAAAACTAACGCCGCAACTTCACGCCAGAACCCCAAACCTTATACAATTTATATAACCTCAAGGGCCGAGTCCCTGACCCTCTTTAGAGCTGCAATGAGTCTGTTGCTTCGAGTCATCGACTCCTAAATCCATACAACTTCAACAGGATCGATCGTAAAGGCTTCAACCAGGGATTGAACGGCTTGATATGGCATAAGAAAAGTCACGACGCTTGACCTAAACACACTTTGTGAGAAGTAGCTGTCAGATGGTGTCGATCATGTCAGAACGTCGTTTAGGGGGCCAGGAATATCTCTTAGCATCGTGGGTTCTACGGCATCAAGAATCTACAAACTCTACATGGGCGGTTGCAAAATCTTTCGTGCGCTAATGCAGGGCCCTAGTGGATAATGCAAGTCTCTGGCACAAACAAAAGCACCGTGTCTATCTTCACCTCACTCGATGTGCTAACCCTCCACACTCACCGTTTAACCCCCCACCTAGCCCTAGATGCCAACATGCTTCGGCTCCTCATTGTCACCCATGATGGGTGTTGATCTTGCTGTGGAGAACCTGTTACTTGTGTTCTCGAGCTTCTTACCAGACTTTTCCTGTTACCTTTGCGAGCTTCGGGGATCAGGCTTTGCGTGCACAGTTATACAATCATTATTCATTATTGCCATCGGAAAATCCCATCCTCAGCATCAAGAGCCCTCGATGAAGCTGCTTCTGGCCTTTATGTTCTGGACGAACTGATCTACCGAAGGGACGGCATAATTCTCTCACTTCTCGACACCTGGTTGCAGCACTACCAAGTTAGGGTTGAATTGGGAGTGGCTTTCTGAATAATTCTTCGAGGGGAAGCTTCTTACACTGATGGACATGGACTGCCTGCCCGCACCAGTAGGCAGGATAGGTACCAGTGAGTGGGATGCTCTGAACTGCTGCATGGATAGATCGCAACCCTACGCTACAGCTAAGCCTCGTCTTGGCTACACCACGCATATGTAACGCAGGTGCAAAAAAACATGAAAAGTGCTGCATGTCCCCGCTTTGATGAGTACGGCTCCTGCCCGACAGGAGCCGACATGGTAAACCCAAGACTCAACACCTCCCAGCCCTTGCAATAACTCTAAATCACATAAACTGATTCAATAATATTACTACTAGCCCCTGTAAACCCTACGCAAATCGCCGAGGTGACCCGACTCGGAGCACATGCTTTGGAACAGGCGTCCGCAGCTGCACGCCTGTGGCAGGGCATAGAGTTAGAAGTGATACATGCAAGCCATAAGTTCCACCACATGAGCTGTGTTTTTGCTTGTATGAGTGGTTCTCATCCGTCTGGAGCCTAAGCTGGGCTACGCACATCCATGCGATACACCGCTGCACACTGGGGGAAGCTTCAAGCCTTCGCGCCAAGCAGGCCTACGCGGATTTGTCTTCTAGACGGCCGAAGCCCTTGCGTCCGTTTTCGTACACTTAGCAAACCGGTTATATGGACGGAAACAAACACCCCACAAGTCTAGCACAAGGCCCTCAAATCCTCAAACCAGCAGCAAAGCTAGTTAAGAAATCAAGGCTGGAACTCTATGGTGTTTCATGTGTCCACGTTCATATCGACCGACGCAGAGCCAACGTGCATCTACACGCCTCAGAGAGAATGAATGTCTAGGCAAACAAAGTTGGACTATGTTGGATGTTCCGGGTTACATGGTTTACGTAAATCCCCACATGGCAAAACACATGCTGCTCAATGTGACATTAGAGTCGCTTCGTCGAGTATGTATCCAACATCATGCTTTGGGGCTGAAGGTTCTCGTTGGATCACGATAAGCGTTCACAGTGCCCTGCCAACAGGGTACGTAGTCTTTTTGTTGGAAATCTAACCAACCGTGCCAGTTAATTATGTGTGCCGACCTCCCTAAACGCATTTTGGATCCACAAAGAAAGCAACATGTCCAGTAAACCCCGGGGTGGGTGTATGAACATGGAAACATATTGAAAGCAGTGTCATTCGGCATAAAGATGCGTCCCCACGAGTCAAAACCTGCATCTGGCCGCGGCCAGCCGGTCAAGAGGCTCGCCACCACGGGTTTGTAGCGTGGATATGAGAATGATCTCACGCGCTTCAAATGAGGGCAAGTTCTAGTAAGCACTTTGGAGAAACATTATAATGATTCCGTAAATCTTCCCTCATAATCGGTCAAACAACAAGGAGGAATCGCACGAGGAGTTAGTGAGAGCTCATACTTGCACTGAAGCCAAGATTCCACCTAGTAAGTCTCAAGCCCTCAAAAATTGAGTTGCCACACGCAGAACTTTGAACGTCAGGGTTGGGAACCCGTCAGAGACTTGTAGGCTCGAATCACGTCTGCCAAACTTGAAACTGCATGGAATATGCATGGCTGACGACAGTCTGGGGCTCCAGATTGCCCGCACCCTTCCAACCTACATCATGGACATTGGATCAGAAACGTAAAGAGCTACTAACTACAGTTTTGGGCCCTGGGCTTTGTGTTTAGGGCCTAAGCCCTTTTCTGTTGTTAGGCCCTGAACCATAAACATGGCCATACACAGAAAGCACCATCGAGGCCAGCAGGGTAGCCCACTTTTGTGACTGTATTGCGAGACTGGAGCGACTTTGTCCAGTCCCAGGTGCTGTCACTAAGCTCTGCATCGAGCCCATCATTCCTCGAGGAACCTTGGCAACCATCCCGGCTGAAGCCTGCCTCTGAGTTGGACCCCTCTTCTTGTGCAACTGCGCGAGAGCTCCGCGAAGAACAACGAGCCCTATAGGCAGGCATTCGGAGGTGCGTGAACGCGAACCGCTCAGCTAAGCCTTGTCTCGTTTCAACGAGAAGCCGGAAGATGCCCATGTACAGGCTTAACTATACACATATGTATATCTATATATATATATATATACACACACACATATTAGCCGCACATGTGGAATACTATAGGGTTTAAACATGTCGTAACTGACTAAGTTAACGAATGATCAAGTGCTTGCCGTCACTCCACCCCCAGCTGACAGAATCCGAGTAGTCACGGTGCAGTCTTCCTAGGCATCAAGGCTAAGGGTTCCACCGCCATGACAGGGAAGCGTCTCAAAAGTGGGCATTTGGCAAAATGAAGCTTCCCTAGACCCTCCATCTACCCTCCATTAAACCCTAAATGCCCCTTATTTGGGACCATATACCCCTATTTGAGGGTCCAAGGAGGGTCCTGGTCATTTAAACTCGATTTCGCGACGAAGTCATACACACGTAGCACAGACCCCACACGGCAAACACCCAAACAACAACAACGAGCCTGCAGGAGAAAGAACTCACAGGCGCGGTGTCCCCTTGTCTTAGCAATCGGCCACTGTGTAGTGAAAGATACCAGAGCAATCGCTAGGCTAGGGGTTTGGGAGTTTTTGCCTGAGCTACTTAGTCGATGACCATGCCCTGCAGCCCTTCAATTGCAGATCTTGAATCTGAATCATCGCTAGAAGGATCTACTTCCACTTCCGAGCTCTGGGGGTGTAAGGAGTCCGCTCTGCAATGGGTTCCGGCCTCTCAGCCCCCAACAGGAGCGTGTCTGAAACGTCTGCTTTTCGACCGCTCCCTCCCGAAGGAGCGTCTACATTTCACGTGGCAAGCATTCTCATTCTATGCGACCTGCAGTGCTAAGTCTCTGGGGGAGTGCTTCACCACTCCAACAGCGAAACCCACCAAACTAATGTTCATGCGTCCTTGGGTTCCGGCTTCTGTGACTGTGTCGTGTAGCTAAAGTTAGCGTTCTAGTTCTACGGGTCATAGTAAGGTGTTTGCAACGGGTATGAGCTTGGGAGCTTCATGAGGATGGGCAAATCACCATCAACCTCGTCCCTGCGCTTGCCAACCCTGCTCGACTGACGAAAGTGTCAGACATCTCAATCTACCGGCAGCTAAACAGGGAAGTTGTCAAAACGATGGCATCCTATAGGACAAGCCTGCAATATGGGGGCCATAATAATTAGAATAGGGTTTTGGGGCCCATTCTAAATACAACAAGGAACCCTCAAGATAGCATCGGTAATGATTTACGCCCCTATAGTATTTTCGGTGATGTTGCTCTTAGCATGCCGCCGGGGTGTCTCTGGTATAACCTGGCTAGTTGCATGACGTTGATTCTGGCAACAACCCATAGAAATTGCATGGCGTGAACCGCAGATTCTGCGGCTATAGGGAACGCGGTAAATTAAGTGCACGTAGCTACTGCATTTGCAGTTTGTGCGTGAAACGAGACTTTGTCGCGAAGTTCATTGGCATTTCCAGCGTCCTGCAACAGCCAAACCACAAACACTACACCCTGAACAATAAAACCAGAGCTTCAAACCGGAGGCAAGCTGCTTGTCGTGTTTCGAACTCTAAGCACACACGCGATTTATGACCTCTGCGAAAGGTACTTACAGCTTTGTATGCCAGTCCCCGGAGGCCAGAGCTGCTCTATCTAAACGATCCCGAAACTGACTCGAAAGCTCGGTTCTGCATCGGAACAAGGGGCAAAGCGGCAAGAAAACCTGAACAGGCCCATATCTCTGGCCTGTGAATATCCCTTCTGCCCACCAGTGTTGACCGTCTAGAGTCTAGTGGGATGCGAGGTCTTGCTTTGGGCTGGCCAAGAAAAAAGGCCAAGAGTAGGAAACCCGAAGCCAAAGATGCCCGTTGTGCTGTAGAAAAGCCCATATCCTCACGTCCTTGTTTGGGGCGCAGGACTTGCGATTCGTAATTTTAAAGGCCTTTACAGTTGGAATTGGCTCCCGGTTCATAGTATACTATATGCTTATACGGATTTTCAGGGGAGGGTCTTACTAGTTATTTCGACGCCTATACAACACTGTACATACGCACATACATACATACATACATGCATACGAATATACACAATTACATATGTATATATATATATATATATAGACACACACACACACACACCATGACCCAGTTCCAAGCTTGACCTGGGCAGGAACTGCATTCTCGTTGCCCGCCGGGGAAGCCTCGGGGGTCGTCTCCTGCCCGAGGCGTGGCTTAAGATCGCGCGCCCTCATTCCATTAAAGCAAACCTGGGGGTTCGGGCTTGTTTCGGCGTTTCTGGCATTGGCTTGTCTGTGATTTGTGTTTTTGTTCGTTGGTGTGTTTTGTTTTTTTGGTTTTGTGTGCATGTGTGTGTGTGTGTGTGTATGTGTGATTGCTTTGGGTGTTGTGCGACCTCAACACACGATCAAGCCAGAAATCCGAACAATGACAAGACCTCACAATCAGCACTTTCAGAAACCCTCATACTCTCACCTCCCCAGAGTGAGACAAAGAAGATCGCCAAGCATTCCATCTACACTCCCGAACAGCTCATCCGAACCTCTTAATCCCCAAAACCCTATAAACCCTACATTAAACAACCCTCAACCCCGCGCGCTGAAGAGTCGAAAAATCTTGAGCTCGCCTCGAAAGCGATCAGGCCTCCTAGGCCCTGCATGCCTCCTTTCAGGGAATTGGGTTAAGGTATATCTAATGATGGTTCTTTTTGTGTTAAATACTGCCTCTGACGGCATGAGTACAAGATTGAGCGATAGCTGTCCGATGACTCTTTCCAAGGACTGGTCTTGGTTCAACTCAGCTCTTCTTGCATCGTGTTCTTTTGCCTGTTTGTTCCACTACTGTGGGGTTGGGGTGCAGGGTTGCGGGAACTCGTTTAATTCTTCCGCTTCCATTTCTAAACGGACTGAAGGCATTTGTTTCTGGGGTTTGGCGTGTCAACGGCCTTCTACGAACATTTACACCACTGCCTTTCCAGATCGACCTTGATGTGCCGCACCTATACACTGTATCTCAGGGTTGATAAGGTCTAGACATCAAGCCCAGTTGATCCAAGTGTTACGGTTACTGACGATGCTTTCAGTATCTAGCGAACATACGGTGATCTGTCTAATTAGAAGACTTCGATCGGAGGCATCACAGACAAAGCAATCTGTGAGGGACAGCATCAACCCCTACCCTGAACAGTCCTAACCGACACCCTACGTAACCCTTATAAGCTCTTCTCCTCAAGCGCACCCAAGCGCTAAACCCTCCTGGATAAGGGTCAGAGACGTCGAAGGCTTCGTTCAAGGTTTGGAAGACGCGAAGCTCGTTTTCTGGCTCCCGGCCGATGACCCAGTCCAGAGCACACTGCGTTGGACCTGAATCAGGTAACAGGCACGGCATAAGTGAAACTGTGTATAAGCTCTATACACCCTCAAAAGCAAAAAAAAGGCCGATGCAATCCCAAGCACCAAACCTACAAGTAGAACCTAGATCAGTCGCATCCGGGTCTTTAGATGTCTTATGTGACCTACGGCTGAAGGTAGGAGTGCTACGCGGTGACACCGGAGCCCCGATACCTGAGGCAGAGATGTTCGTCATCTTACATTGAAAAAATGAATGAAACACAAGTGTATACAGACATATTATATATATATATATGTATATATATATATATATATACACATGTAATCAATTGTTTGTTTGACTGTATTTGTTTATGTGACTATGAACAGTTTCAGCCAGGCGGGAAACAAGGGGTGCAGTCATGCAGAGGATGGGTTGGTGTCACCGCGCGCCCGGACTCATACAGAAGCCCCTTACAGGTGGGTAGTTCTTCTTCCATAGTACTCCCATAAGACCCCCTTTACCTTATAGGAGTGGTATGGGAGGCTTATGGCTTAGATCATGCTGTCTCAGGGCTACTCCTGCAAAGGTTCTTTGGCAGTGCGGGGCTTGGACCGCTCGTAGCTCTTTCACTGTTGGAAGCCGAGGGGTGGTGCATTGCACGGGAGCTACCCGGATAAAGCCGCACACACTAAACTTAAACCCTGAATCCCTAATAAACGCTGGCCGAAAGCTCTCAACCCGAAATCCCCGCATGTGCAACGTTCAGCTTTTTGGGGCTCGGGGCTTGAGTGGTCAGGGTGTACAGTTTAGGGGTGTTCAGCTTCAGGGCTTTTGGATTGAGACGTATAGGCTTAGACTCTGAATCTACCCATAATTCTCAGGAGAGTTGGGTATGACCAAGGGATCAGATTTGTTCAATGGGGTCCTTGAGGCCCAACTCATCTAACTCTCCCAAAGGCTCCATGTAGCCTTATAGTAGATACTTAAGCCTTAAACGGGTCCCTATATGGGTACTTTAAGGCCTAAGTATCTACCATAACGGTACATGGAGCCTTTGGGTCTGCTGCCCTGCCACGAGCGTAGGGCATCGGATTGTCCGGATGGTCCTGGTGGGACTCCGGTCAAATGTGGGACTTTACTTACCTTTGGTTAGTGGGGAATGGAAGAATGGTAGTAATAGTAGTTATAATTGTACCCGATTCCCCCATTCCCTACCAACCAAAAAGGTAAGTTTAAGGATCTCTATGATGAGCTGTTAGGGTCCCTAGTTTTTGAGATTCCCATGGATTCGGAATCCTTCTTGTGCAAGCATCCTAATTTAAGCCTGCTTGGGTCAACAAGCGACTGTGGAAGCAGGTGTATGACCAGACTAACCCAAATCAATTAAGGCACTTCTAAATAGAACTGGTATCGCTAAAGTCCCCTGATCCTCCAACCAAAACTGGTAGCTGAATTCCCAGTCGATTTCGGCCCGGTTTTCTGACTTGGCGAGGAAAACGAACCTCCTAAGCCAGGAACTCATAGCCTAAGTCCGCCACCTGGAGCCCCGAAGTGTGAATCTTACATTCCGAACACTCAAAAGCCAAAACCCTTCAACCTCGAGCCTCAAGGATTCTATGCAACCACAGGACCTCGAGTCAAATTCGTTGACCCCCCCCTCCGCAGCGATGACAAGCAAGAGAAAGGCCGATACGGAGTTCGTCGCTTTCGTCCCCTTTGGGTGACATTACCGTTGCCCAGCAGTTCTCTTTAGTTTGTACGCCACCATCAGACCGCCTTTGGCACAGGGTTTTGACTTAGAGTTAGAAAGTCTCTCGTCAGGTCTTCGTGCTTAAAGCCCTCGGATGATACCGCACTGTAATTAGGATGACAGGTTTCCGGCTGAATCAAGGCCGTGTATTTGCAGGGGGGCGCAGGGGGGCGCAGGGTTTCAAGGAGTTTCTTGGAAACGCGCGCTGATCTCAAACCCAGAGACTCTACAAACCCCAGGCACGAGCTTCGCCTCCTGCACTGGTAGGAGCAGCTCAGGGTCATGGATGAACTTGAACTACCATAGCCTAGGTTACTTAAAAGCCTACAGCAAAGTTTTTATGAGATATCAACTACGGCCCTTAAGAAGAAAGGTTATGGCGCCGACAAGCCATCAAAGCTCAGAAGCGGTCCTTTGCATGCACCTCCATGCTGAGGTAGTAGAGAAGAACCCCCGGATCCTCTCCGCACTGCGTGTTTTTGATGCTCACACTTGGGAATGTCAGGCGAAGCAAATCAGGCTAGAGCTCTAGAGATTAAGGTGTGAGGCTTTGGGGCGTGAGAGTTTGGGTTTTAGGGTTACCCCTTTGGGGGTTTCGGCGCTCACACTCGGACAATCCGGACGAGGCATGTGATTCGGAGTCTGTCAGAGGGTAAGATTTTGAGTTTCGGCGCGTTTAGGGTTCGAGGGTTTAGATTTTTAGCAAGAGGATTTCGGTTTAGGGTGCGGTGTGTCTGAAAGGCCACGTTTGCTGCGCGGTACCAGTAGGATGTTCAAGTTGCGAGGCTCGGGGCTTGCGCCTCTGAGGCCTTGGGAGTGCTATGACGAGTGCACCGTCTGTGTGGCAATCTATGGTCCCCCCTTTTGGGTACCCTAAATATTAGGTGCCGTACTAGAATATGGACCCAAAAGGTGACCATAATTTTGACAACTAGCCATGTGAACTTAAACTCAGAAACTTCGGCTTCAGACGATCCGAAGTGGCAGATCCGAAACCACGAAGTCCCGATCGGGTCTTAGGCCCTGAACCCTGAGCCTCGAGACCGATAGTAAGATTTAGGGAATTTGGTATGGTAGAAATCTTGAAACCAAAACCACGATTTCTTGACCGCCTCTTTTTTCCGTGGCGGCTGCACATCCAGTCCCAGGTATGTACAACTCTGCCATTGCAATAAACGGCAGATGTGGGCCTGGGCGAGGGGCCGTAATGGCCAGAGAAGGGTCTCGGGGTTAGGATGAAACATATTCTGCTTCGATATAGAAATATATATATATATATATACATATGTATATATACATATGTATATATATATATATATATATAATTATATATGAAGCCCTAATTAAACCCCAACCCCCCTAGTGTCGCTTGCTAAAGGGGAGGCCCACTCGCCAGTCTGGCTCAGCGCATTCCTTTGCTTTCTTCAACGCCACGGCCGGTCCCGCGTCCATAGAAACAACTGCCTCGCGAACAGTTTGGGATGGTTCCACTGAGGGTTCCGACAATGGTATAGGGGACGAGGGATTCCGAAAGGAGTTGCTATAAGTATAAGGTATCTGAAGGGTGGTGAGGAGGTGCCATCTACTGCGATACAGATATAAGGACGGCAGCATCATTAATGCCTGATGGTCTTAGTCTTTGGCGTTGAGACCGCTGGAATCTGGGATCTGTTTGGTAACGGGGCCACTCCTTGCTAGCAGGCTACTGTGTCTGGTTTGGAGCTGCCGGTACGGGTTAGGTGGAAAGTTTGGCATGCAACATGGATCCCCGTGACACCTAATACAAGATTGGAGGTGTGAGTTTTACGGGGTTTAGGGATCAGGGCGAAGGGTTTAGGAGTTCAGGTTTTGGGTTGGAGGTCCTCGTCGTAGTAGCTGCAGCTGCCGGCGCAAAAACTATCGACGAGCTGGTCCTTGGTGCAGGGTCCCTCGGCACCCTCCTGGAAGAGAGCGATGCGGAAGTCAAGGGATACCTGCTCAGGCTTCGAGTTTTCAGGATCTGCGGTGTCAGGTTTAATGGTTCAGGGCATGGGGGCGTTCCGAGGTAGCAAGGAGTTTCGATCTGATTCAACTTCTTCCGAAGCCTGATCAACGTTAACATCCCACCAGGCAGCTGGCCGTCGTCAATGCACGAGACCCGTAAGAGAACGACATCAAGAACACACCACATCACATAAAATTAAATGCCGAAACAAACACCAAGAACTAAAACTCACCGAACTGTGTTCGGCGCGTCATGGCTCAAGGCTTCCAGGCTTCAACTCTGAAGAGAACCCTAAGCTGCAAAAGTAAGCCTGAAAGCCCAGACACACGTGTGGCATCCGTGGTGTTCTCCAGGGTGAAGTGTATACAGCGTGCGCCATCGAAAATGAAGCCGTGCCCCGGATGTTTCGCCTGACTTACGGATTTCAGGAATAGAGGGGAGAGGGGTTTGAGGCTGGAGGGGGTCGGGTTCAGCTACAGTGGGCTGGGAGATGGTTGCAGTGACGGTTCTGTGAGGACATGTTCCGGCAGTCTGGGGCGCGGGGGGGTCTCCGCCAGTTTTCGCGCAAGGAAACAGAGAAGTCACGTCCTTGAACCCCCAGCACCCATGCCACCGCAGACCTGTTTGATCCGTTATGGGAGAGCCTGCGTGTTCCACTATCTCGTTTTCGACCAGGCACGAAGAACCTTCGAAACAACACGAGGAGGAACCCCTGAAATGCTGAAAAACGATGACACCCAAAGGGCCGAACTCCCAAAGCGAGAACCTGTTTGTGATTTCTTGAGACAGGTCAACATCGAAAGTTCTCGGACAAGCTAGAAAAAACGGCAGGGGTTCTTTGTTGAAAGCGATATTGTAAACGGGATCGTGGGTTGTTGCCGGGGCACCGAACAAGGGCACATTAATCTTTTTGAACCCAGGCCTGCATCAGCTAATCTATTTTCAGAACCCCCACAACAAGAACATCCCACTCTTGAGAACAAGTTACTGTCAAAGGATGCCAATCTTCGGCCCCTGGGCGCGACTCCACAAACAAAGCATTGGCACCTCAGGGCTTCTATCCTAGGGCACGGCACTCAACACCACAAACGTTTATTCACAATCAGGGTCTGGGGTTGATAAATAATACATATCAACCTTACTTAGCAGCACCCTTCACACCTAGGACCGGTGTAAGGGGAACGTGGAAGTTCAGATTGCCGATACTATGGCCGTAGGCGGTGTCGCAGTGAGGCCCAATGGAGAACTCGCCAGGTCGAACCACACGGAGGCAAGGAAACGCTTGGTACCGGTAGATTACGTCGGAGGTTATGTTCAGGA